TTCTTGATATACTTCCCTGATTTGACAGGAGGGTATTTCTCAGTTCCATCCAAACATGTTATGGTAGTTTCTTGGTCAGGATCAAAGAAAAAAGCAACAGAACGGCGGGGCTTACATCTCTTGATTTCCTCGTCTGGGACAAGCACTCGATGTGGCTAAAACATTATATAGTGGATTATTGTTACTAGCTTTGCTATCTTTTAGAGGTATTAAAGAGAAGAAGATGAGTGATGCTAGTAACTTTGCAAAAACTAGTGCCGCAGCCAAGCATTTCAATTATATGGCCCAACTTTCCTGGTTACATGCAATTTCCTGAGATTTCCCTGTGTTTTTACAAATGACTTTATATTTTTCACTCACTCCTTCAATGAATAGACATATAATCCAAACCACAAAGGGGTTAATGATTCTAGGGCCTCTACAGCAAAAATTGCATAGGAAACCCAATTTTTAAAAAGTTCCATATGCATTATAAAATGATAATATGCATTATTTCCATGCCAGACCAAATACAACATTTCCTAACAATTTCTTGAAGGAGAAGAAATCTAGATTTCAACTCTGAATTGATACTGTACTTATTGATAGTGATCAAGATCAGGTACACCTTATGGATATCAATGAGTCCTCTGATTCCTGATCATTCCATATAAGAGAATCCCCAATTAAGATAAAAGTTATTGTACTTACGGTTGATTTCAGTCTGTCAGATGTGCAGCGCTGCATAAGGTCTGAAACATTTACAAGTATTGTTCCTGGGATGGGTGTGGCAGGAACAAATTGACCATCCACTGTACCAACCTAGGATAGTAATAAATAACTCACTGGTTAAAGAAAAGATAGAGAAAGAAAGGGGGAAGGAAGGGAGAGAGGAAGGGAGGAAGGAAGGAAGGAAGGAAGGAAGCAAGGAAGCAAGGAAGAAGGAATAGAGGAAGGAAGGAAGCAAGCAAGCAAGGAAGCAAGGAAGGAAAGAAAGAAAGGAAGAAAGAAGGAATAGAGGAAGGAATGGAACACTGATGGGCTTCTTACCTCAAGGCCACCTGCATCATCTTGTATGAGAAGAGTAATGACTCCATAATCAGTGTGTTCACCACATCTAATCTGACCAGGCTTCAGTTCAATATCAGATACCTTGGGATAGTAATTAAACCGAAGCTGAACTCCTCCTGCTTCGGTACCAAGATTTCTAAAGTATTGCTCAAAAACATCTGGATCCTGATAGAAATTTGATTAGTTAAATCATAGTTTCAGAAAAGTAAAAAAGCTGGAATGGAGTGGGGGGGAGATTTGGTAGTTCTGCATAATATCCATGTTTGTTTGATCTGTGAGTTAGTTGTGCGTTTACTTAGATCAACCAAAAGTTGTTTCAAGGCATTGATAATGTTTTGAAGTTTTTTATATTTATGTTTATTTATCCAAATCGTTAGAGTTGACATATTGCCTTCAACCACTGATATAGCAAATAGCCTCTATTGTCATGGTTTTTTATTCTTTTTAGAAAATGACAACGAGAACATAATTTACATTGGAGTTTTTGTAGTAATTTAAAATGAAATATAATGAATGCAGTAATAATGAAGAGATATATAAGCAACAAAGCATTCATAAACATTAATTTTGCCACAATCTTTTGAATGGATTTCCCTTGCTTTTTCATTATGTTTAGATAACATGTACTGTTTAAGACCCCCCCCTCCCCCTTTAC